ACCAAAACCTTGCCACGCAAAACCAACACTTATGTGTATCATAGCAAAGATGAGCTAAAGGCTCTACATTTCAAAAGTCATGATGGACTTGTTTCTCTCTCATTGCTAATAAGGACTTTAATTCCAGTCTGTGCATTTTTTGTTAGCACCTTGGATTTTAATGTTACTTTTTTTTGGTTGTTGTTTGTTTTTTTTTTCCTCCAAACACAGCTAACCCCATATTGCTAGCATAAAAGTACATAAAATTATAGTAAAACTCTGGGAACTTAGAATCTCCCCCTGACTGGCCCCAAAAGGGCCTTGAGGTCCCTTCTGCTATAAATTATTGCATAATTCTATGAAATGAGGTAAGAATTCAGCTTCTTATTGTGGAAAGCACAATATAGTAAACTTCAGGGGCATTTGAAGAAATCCTGCCTGAAATTGAATGATGGTGGGTAAAATGAAAATTTACTTAAGCAAGACTGTCTGTAAGCATGGATAAGTAGATTTTACACCTTTGCAAAACAGCAGTATGTAAGTATGAGAGTGCCTCAGCTGCTTTGCTCCACAGTCTGAGAATATGAGATTAGAGCTCCAGAGTTTAGAAAGGTGACTAATTTTTGAACTTTCTGAATATTAGCTTTTGCATCAGAAGTGTTTGATACTTTATTCAAAGAAAATGTTGGTTCGGTTACCTGTTGAACTGTCCAGCCCATCGTGTAGGTAGGACTCAGATGTCCTATCCAGGGGATGGGACAGGGCTGGAGGCAGGTACATCATTGACAGAGCTCAGGCAGAGGCTGAAGACCCAGAGAGGCTCAGGAGTAGAGGCTGGTGAGGACCCTTAAGGCCTATCAGAGCACTCAGGGCCCTGGCAATACCCAAGAGGAGGTAGATGATTTGCAAACAGGAGGTTTATTACATCCCAACTTCCGTTGTCCTCTATGTTATTTTTTTAATTTCCCTGTTTACACATTACTTGATTTCCTCACTGTTGCAACACAAGTGGCTGGACATATCTCAACAATGGTGCAAAGATTTGCCTTGCATTTGGCACTCTGATTTCAAAGACAGATGCTAACTACAGAGCTAGAGAAGTTATTACCTTTATTAGACTAAGGTGTTTTCAAAAGCTGAAACAAATGACATATCTGATTTCTTAAAAATCAATTCATTACATTATTTGGGTTTTTTTTTTTCAAATACATGAATCTAATAAAGGCACTAAATCAGACTGTTTTTAGCATTTTTGATTTCTAGATCCAGAAATAGTGTGTGTCCATGACACTTGAATGCCCAAGCAATGTATTTACTGAGTGCACCCACAGGCATTAATTTCATCAGCCTTTAGCTTCAGTACCTCATCATCATACCTTTCAGGCAGTAACCATGGTTCCACGTTAAAGAACTTGCAATGTAAAGGGACAAAATATAGGTGGAAAGGCAGGCTATCATCTTCCGTTCCTTGCATTGCAATGTCCTCTTATGGTCCAAGCCCCTTCCCTAGTTAAGAGCTTTCTTTCAGATCCCAAGGTTCAGCATCAGAAGAAGATAGGAGCCAGCAGCTTATTAACCACAAGTGTTATGAGTCACTTCGTGCTTGGTCTGGTGTCTGTATACCCAGCAGCTGTGCAGATCAACTCTGAATAAGACGCCATCTAATAAATGCATTTTTCCCAGCCCTTAAGTGGCTTCTGTAAGTTGCAATTAGCCTGTAAGGAAAAAAAAAACCCACAAACTTCAGAAAACACTAGAATATTGAAATCCAAATAACAAGTGCCTCTGCTCAGCAGCAGCTGCCTGAGGGGTATGTACAACAGCAGTGGGCTCCAACATACTCTTCAGCCCCCGCAGATGACATCTTTCCTGCACATCACGCAGTTCATGTGCACCGTGGTCATCCTCACGTGAGTACCCCTTGTCCCCTGCCCTTTCCTAGAGGCAGCTGCTGCCAACGTCTGTCTGTGGGAAGGCTCAGCACCCCCAAATCCACATGTGCTGACCTGCAGTCCTGTTGCATGACCTTCACACTGACACCTGGCAGTTTCCAAGTTCCCTGTTGGCATCAAAGTCTTAGGGAGCACAGAACAGTGAAACGCAAATTTCTGTGCAAGTCTCATGAAATTATTTACATCACATGTTGTTTTATCAGTAAAATGAGTCTTCTGACAAAAAGCTCTGCCTCCTGTCCGACAATTTGGCTCAGAGCATCAACAAAGTTGCATTCTTCTTGCAGATCCACTTCTTTGAAGTCTGGCAGTTATCTGCTTGGATCATGTTTTTTCTTCTGTAAACAGCACAGTTCTTGTCAGTCTCAATCCTATTTATAGGTATCCTGGTGAGAAAACAAAATAAATGCAATGAGTTGTTTGCTTTAAATTCAGTACTGGATAAAAATATTGATAATATCCTGAGTGAAGGGTTTGGGTGACGCCCATTTGGTCACCCACTGAAGCACAGTTCCTCAACAGCTGTGCGTAGGTGGGATGGGCACCCACAGCAGAGGCTGCTAGCTGCTGAGGGATGGATGCCTAGGAACATTAGTGTAAGAAGGATGAGAAAACCTCTGCATGCAGCCACGATGATAAATTGTAATGGGAAGGGGAGGGGAAGGACCCTTCAGCTGCACAGATCATAGCACCCATGCTATGTGACAGGCATCATGTTCAATGGAGACAGTCAACACATGGTCTGTAAAGTGAGAGTTTGTTGATTTTAGTGGGAGAAGTGTGTATTAATATCCCTCTGCATTAATACATACATGAACTGAGTCTGTGGTTGGCCTTGCAGGCAGAAAACAAATCTGTTTCCAAAGGTGCCCAGCAGTAACCAGTTAACCTGAGCTGGCCATGAAATAGACCCTGAATAGGTGCCTGAGGCTGCAGGACTAGATCTGTGCTTTGGGAAATTAGCTTGGATTCAGAGTTGTATTTCCATGCAGACTACAATAATTTTGCTATTGCTGAAGACAGCCTCCCCCCACAAATCATCACCTGTTTTCTTTTACTCCAGGATCTTCAGCTGAAGTCCATTGTATCTTTATGTCTTCAATCTTTGTCCCAATCCAGATATATTTGGTATCTTTCTCTTTATTGTCTATAAATTCCTGTGAAACAAGTAGAAGCATGTTATCCAACAGCAGAGCTCTTCTGCTGTGCTCAGGTCACTGTCCTGTCTCACACACAGCTTTTCACGTAGTCCCTCACATGGAGAGCAAGGGTAGGGATCCAGCCAGGCAAAGCAGCCCATTACAACAGCCCATATCCACGTGACCCGCCACAGAGTTTTGATTCAGGCTGGAACTCAGGCTGACTATCTTCCTGTCAGCTGTCAACAAAAGCCCCTCAGTGATGCTCTTCACCCTAATGAGCCAGCTTGCAAAGCCTGGTCTTTAAGGTAAAAGACCTGTTCCTCAAGGAATGATGAGTTTCTCAGAAGAGCCATTTGGTCATACCTTGGTATTCATTTTCCCAAAGGAAAATGAGAAGGAGGTTTGGCTCTTTGAATTCCCATTTAGTGGTTGAATCAGACCCCTCTTCCCAGAGCCAAGTAATGGAAATGGGTGGGAAGTCCTCAGCGTTTCCTCCTCCCAGTCAAAACTACTCTGACTTCCACACTTGCATCTCTTGTGCTTCTCCTCTTCAGCTTTACTCGGTTGACACTCCCAAAACAAGCTCCTGCCCATGGAGAGGCACATGCTCTGCACTTGATGGGGCTCTTGCTTGCCTGCATGTACACCTGACATCTGGGCCATGTTCACTGGGTGAGATGTTTGGCTGAGGCAGATGCCTGTTGCACAATTTTAGGGCTGCTGGAAGACTCACCATCTCAATTTCATCTTCAATGTCAAGAAGCTGGGATTTCCTGGCCAGACAGTTTCTCTCGCTGTCATGCCAGCTTACAGCGTCCTCAGAGAAGTAGTAACATCTGCTCCTGTGTAGTTGCCACCCAGGAGGACACAGCTCACATATTCCTGTGGGTGGAGAGAGGGAACCATTAGCTCATACTGTGACTTGTTCCAGTTGCCTTGTAGCATTTTACGTTCATGTGCCTGGCTGGTCCAAAAGCGGCCAGTGCCAACTCCCAAGCATGTCTTCTCTGAGTGTGGAGGGAGCTTTGAAGGCTCCAATCCCCTCCTCAGCTTCCCACTCCCTTGCCATGGTGTTATTCTGCACTCCCACTGCATAACATCGGGCTTTCCACCTCCCTGTGCACCTGCCTGGTGAAGAGCACCAGGAGGACCTAGAGAACTGCAGACACTTTTTGTCCTCCCACATGCAGCCCTTGTGAGGAGACACCGTGCGATGTGACGTGATGTGGAGTGTGTGGATTTGACATATGATGTGACCAGAAAACACTGGCATTTAGATGATGTCCAAACTATGTCCATGGAGCTGGGGAAGGAACTGTGTTAAATAAGGGGAACACTGCTATTCCCAGGTCTACTTTCCATTTCACGCAGAGCATCTGGGTGGAACGTCCCCCACATTTTCTGTCTTGGCTTCCTCTAATGCTTCAAAGTAACATCATTACAATCAATCTTTAGAAAAAACATTAATATTTGCCAACAAATAATTGATCCACAATAAAAAGACTGGGAAGATCTTCCCCTGCCTGATCCTTGCAAAAGGATGGGAAAGCTAAATTCCCTTCCACTCTGCAAACAATTATTGTCTGGAAAGTGTTCTTCAGGACAAGGGGAGGATCTACCATATATGGCATTTCTGACAGCATTTCCTGGCAGAAAAAAATGTAAAGAAAGTACTGGAAACTGTTTATACTGAAAGAGAAGCAAAACTATTGTCATTAAAATGTTTAGGTTAGATCTGGTCATCACTTCTATGCAGGAACACCATGGCCCCTGGGTAGTACCAGTGAGTTCCCATAAGCCACTGGGTGCCATAGAAATGGGAACAGAGACAACAGAAGTGTGCATACAACACATCCTCTTTGCTGTGAAAGGACTAACTTTCCTCACGCCGTCCGTCTTCACACAGTTCCTCCACGAGCCATTTCAGGGGCACAGCCAAGACCGTCTTCTCTGAAGAAATATGATTGCCGGTGTTATTTAGATAGTGAGGCAAACTTTCTGATTTTCCTGCTCTGTCCTTCAAAACTTGAACAAAACAAAACAAAACAAGATATTATGGTTAACAACGGGGTCAAGGAAAGGTAGTCTTTGTATCCAGTGTTATATTGTGAATGCGAGGATATGTGTGTGTGGTGTGTGTACACTGGGGGGGTATACACACTCAGTTGTGAGCATACTTAGTGAGTATAACTGTCTGGCAAAGGGTGTAGCTGCTGAATAATATGGACAGTACAGGAAAAGAAAATAAGTTTGTCATTTTTGATAGTTGGATATATAAAGAATACACAATATTTTGGTGAGATTTTAGGGAAGGTTGGGAGGTCCATGGTTTTTCTGAAGTTTTTCAAAACTGTTTTCTCTTAGGAAATTAATATCTTCTCTGAAACAGCTCTTTTATAACTGGAGCATGCTGTGGATTATATTACTGGTACTAGGGAAGTCTGATTAAATGAAGTGATTTGAAGTCTGATTTTTATTTTATTTGTTCAATCCTACAAAGTAATTAAGTGAAATGGCCTCAAGGTAGCATCACGGATGCAACTTTTAACTTGTAAGTCACGAAGACCAAATGTTTTGACTGTCATAATGGTTTGAAATCTGCTTCTACAGCCTTTCAGCATCACTGATGACAAGGTAGATTGTAGCAACTCCCCTTCATCTGTCCTATATATGATAAATGACAGGTAGCAAATGTTCCCTTTGGAACACTACATTTATTTTCCTGTATTTGTGTATAACTTGGCACCTTTAATGTGACACTAAGGGAATTTTTCTTTTGTCATCACTCTGCTTGTGAGGTTTAGCCGTGTCTGCAACGAAGAGATGAAGCAGATGGTAGGATCTACTCACATTGCTTGGCTAGTACAGCTATGATGCCTAGCAGGACGAGCACAAGGACTCCCAGGGCCAGGGCCGCGTAGAACCAGGCTGAGCGCCTGTGTCGACAATCTGAAGGGAGGCAGGAAGAAGAGCAGCTTAAGGTCTTTGCACTATTAAAATTAACACTGCCTTTATGTATGCTAGTTTCATACGTGGAAACAACAGAGAAATCATCTGCCTGACATCAGTCTTCTCTTTGAAGTATGAAGGGACATTTTACTTAGTAAAAATTTGCATCCATTTGGCATACATGAAAGTGAAATAGAAAGATTTTTTTTTTCAGATAAATTAAATTATTTTCAATCAATCATTCCATCAAAAATTCTCTCTTTCTCCTTTGAGTTAGTTTTTTCAAGCATTGCATCCTCCCACCTACCCACCCACACCCTGAAAGACCTTGCAGAGCAATTCAGGGGAAGTATCAGGGACGGTCTGTGATGCGTTCCTCCTCTCTGGTCACGGTCTCCTGTGTTAACATGCCTATCACGTGGCTGCAAGCTAACTTACCTGAATGCACAGAAAAGACAAAAAAATCCCATACCGACACCATAGCACAGTGAAGTATACATATGACCAAGCATCTCTCCAGCCGTTTGGCATTCATCAGCTTGTGAGAGTGAAACAGTCAGGAAGAGGCAGGACCTGAGGAAATTTGGGGTCAAGGTGTTTCCACAAGCCACAGAGTCACACTTTCATCACTGCCATTTTCCTGACCTTGCATGTGTGAGATGAGCAACCGCACCGTTCTCTGGCTGCCTGAGATGTATTTTGTAATGTTCCCTTACAGCTCGCAGAGTTCTGTGGGCCTGATGTTGTCTGGCACGTGTCCTTCAGTACTTGTACAGAGAGGGTGGCAATCATCAGTGCACTAACTGCACACAGAGAGCTGGGTGTTACGCTACGTCCAAAGCCAAATGTGTGCCTGTGGCTGTTCCTGCAGAGGCACTTACTGGACCGAAAAATGTGGAATCTTACTTTCCTTTGCTAAATTTTTAATGTAGGCATTTTTTAAAATTATTTTTAAAATCTCTTGCAGTATTATTTTTAGAAGGAAAGTGTATAATCTGAGAACTCAGCCAAAAAAAAAAAAAAAAAAAAAGATAAATCAGTTCTTTATTAAGAGATTGCATGTAAAGACTTTTGATAACAGGTTTTACTGTTGGGTAATAGGAAAGACTAAATCTATAATTAGTAACCAACAACCAAACAAAATAGCACACTACCAGAAGAGGAAGTCTCTGATCTGCTGCTCCCTTTGGGTTTCGGCTTCACGCGCAGCTCAGCATATGTGATCAAGTTTCCTGTAAGGAGTAGGGAAACGCTGACATTTGTGGTTGTGCAAGCCATGAAGTGGAGAAACAATAAAGAATTACATAGATGACTGAGTCTGTATAAAAAGGGGCATGTGTTTCCAGAGCTGCTAGTTCAGCTCTTTTCTTTTTTTCTTTTTTTTTTAAGAAACAACAGGCAAGATGATGACTTATCATTTCCTGCTGCTGTCAGGAAGTAACTAAAAGCCTCCTCCATAATCTTTGCTTGAACTACGTGGGTCCTGTGTGTCTGGACCAGGAGGCAGACAGACAGACGGATGGGTAAGACCTGGGTACTATCTGTAGCAAACATCCTATTTGTTGCTAAGCCATCTCAGGAGGTATCACAGGGGCTTAAGGGGCATCAGAGCTGTGACCGCTTCGTGGAGTAGGGAGACCTCAAAGGGAAAACTGCCACTCAGAGAAATGCTTCTGCAGCAAGGCGGTTCTTGGGGGCATTCCT